GTGGGGGGTACAGCTATTAGAAGATCAGTTCACACAGCTTGATTGTGAATTCCCATTATCTTGTTTTCTTATTTCCAAAGGTAAAACCATCTCGTGAAAAACGGAGTTTGGCCTCTCGTCTCAGTGGCTATATTCCTCCTAAAAGGAAGCAAGGACAAGGCTTATCTGCGCCTGAAAACGGAGAGACACCGAACTGTACTGAAGACAAGGTGCTCTCGACTGTTGCGCTCCTTGCCCTCAACTGACCCTCCCACCGCTTTGTTTAAATGAGACCACAGCATTCAGCTCAATTATTTCTGCTCAGAAGCACACTTTTCTTTATTAAAATCACTGATGCACAACATCTGATTCTTGATTGTTTCTGTTTTCTTTGTTCAGAGTGTCTTCTTTCTGGGTTCCTTGAGTTTCTCTATACGCATTCTCTTCCTTTTTGCTCAAATGACGAAGAACACACATTACAGCTTTTCCTCCCCGAACAGGCTGTGGCCGGGAAGAGAAGGTAGCTATTCCAGGCATAGTCTGGAGTATTTGATTACAGATCTCCTCCTAGAAAGGGAAAACAGCCAAAAAGATGAATTTAAAACCAATGTATTTGATGCTTTCTAGTGTTAATGCTTTAAAACACATAAAAATCAGCATTCCTGACTTGCTGTTATTTAAATGACTACGTAAATCAAATTGTACTTCTCGGGTTAAGCTGATTGAAACCTGTACGACAACCAGGCAGTTTTACAAACAACCATGTAACTAACTAATGCACTAAAGGTTGATAGTTTTAAATTCCCACTCTGGCATGACATTGAGGGACTATGTTTGGCTCCAGCTACCATCTCAGAAAAAAGAGGTACAAAGCAGTGGGTTTGGGCATTGGCAGAGGACCTCTTTATCCCCCAAACTGCAGTTCCCCAAACATTACTAACACAGAGTCACTGGGGTGATTAGAAAAATACAGACACCCAGTTCTAGAGATTCTGGGCTGAAACCTAGGCCTCACAATTCTAACCTGGAATGAGGGTGAAAACCACCAGACTAAGGCTGCCTTTTAGCTGCTAAGGTCTTGGACTCTGAGACCAAAATAGATATTCTGTAAACTTATCCTGGGAGTGTAAACTGGTACTTTCCAGAAAGACAATTTGACTTTATATGTAATACTTCTCAGGGGCATTATTAAACAGGAGACAGACTTTTAAAAATGAATCTGTTTTGTGGTTTTTTTTTAAAGATTTTATTTATTTCACAGGGAGAGACACAGCAAGAGAGGGAACACAAGCAGGGAGGAGTGGGAGAGGGAGGAGCACGCTCCCCGCTGAGCAGGGAGCCCAATGTGGGGCTCAATCCCAGGACCCTGGGATTATGACCTGAGCTGAAGGCAGTCGCTTAATGACTGAGCCACCCAGGCTCCCCAAAAATGAATGTTTTTAAATGATAGATGATATTATGCAATTTGTAAAAAAGAAAAGTATATAGCCCTGAAATTACGAAGTGCAATGTTTTCAGGTGACGAAATACTTAACTATGCTTCAATGGAAAAAGTGATGTACATAGAGTATGCTTACATTTTGAAAAACAGAATTGGACAGCTACTGCCATCACTGGGTAGAATTAGCAGTTACTTGTCTCTGCCTTTGCTAATTATCCAGATTTTCTACAATTGTATCTTTAGATCAGAAAACAAAACCACGAGCAGTTCCTCATACCTGCTTGTACTCACCATCTTATGTTCTGGCTCCTCTGTGTTCTTCCCTTTTTTTATGGTAATTTGAACTTTGTATTTTTTCTCAATCCACTGCTGAATCTGTTTATTCTTTGTGTCCAAATCATGTTGTCCAATAGTTGAAGAAAAAGTGAGTTCCTTTGTCAGGGTAGGTCCTAGTTTGAAACAGCGAGACTTGGTGCTAGGACTGTTTACTGGTCTCTTCACAACACCCGAGCTGTGTCACACCCTTCCTGAGAGATCAGGTTGGCACAGGGGCCCAACGCTCCTCTCTTAGTTTCGAATGTTTTTTTAAACAAGGGAGATGGACAAACTTAAAGGTACCAGTTTTTTACCTGCCAAGTAAGAGTATTTAGGTCTCAGACTTTAAAAGCAAAATAGATATTCTGTAATGTATGAAATGCTTCCATTATTATTACCCTCATTTGATGAAAGAAAAAATGGTCCTTTCAAAGTAACGAGTCTAGCTTTATGATAAACTTGACTATCCTTATTTTTCCTTCTGATTAGAGCAGCATCTGGGAAGTACGCTTTTCTTTTTTTTTTTTTTTAAAGATTTTATTTATTTTTTAGAGAGCGAGAGAGAAACAGCATGAGGGGCAAGGGTCAGAGGGAGAAGCAGGCTCCCCGCTGAGCCGGGAGCCCGATGTGGGACTTGATCTCAGTACCCTGGGATCATGACCTGAGCCGAAGGCAGACGCTTAACCATCTTGAGCCACCCAGGCGCCCTGGGAAGTACTCTTTTCATCTGACTCCTTTTGTGATGGCCTCCTAGTGACAGTGGGGTCATCCAGACTGCATCAGACAGGAGGGAGCTCCCTATGTCCTGTATTCTGAAAATGGAAACCCTGACTATTCAAAATTATTTTACAGGGAAGGAACAGACTATTTAGTAAAAGCGTTGGAACAATTCAGAGTTTTCATATGGGGGAAAAATTAGGTCTCAACCCATAAAACACTCTACCCAGGAGGACTGACTAAATGTGAAAAAAAATACAACTTTAAAATAGGAGAAAAGAAAGTGTATGTTTGTGACCTCAGGATAGAAGAAGGATTTTGTTAAGAAAAAAATTGGTAATTTCCTCTATCAAAACATTACTGGGTAATTAAAAAAGGACAAAAAAAATTCTGAGACAAGGTTTTTGCATCACACAGAACAGAGAACTCTATAATCGGGGGTGGAGGACCATGAAAGTAGAAAAACAGGGACTATAAATAGGCAAGTTACAGAGGAGGTAACTTAAATGGTGAAAGGAAGTACAAATAAATAGTAAGACAGGCTTTCTCACCCATCAGCATGGCAAAAATTAGATGACAATACCAAGTGTGGGTGGGGATGTAGAAGAGAAGTTTCATACATACACTGCTGATGATCTGCCCCACAGACTCTGGAGACACTGACAGGCTCATTGTTCTTCATAACGAAAGACTGCAAACGAGCCCAATGTTCATGCAAAGGCCCTAAAGCCATGGTATATGGTATATTCTTAGGATTCTATTCAGTAATTATGATAAATTAGCTACAGCTGTTCTATAAACATGGCTCTTGAAAACAGCGTGACATAATTTTTGTGTGTATAAAATCCTGCTATATACTGTTTATATGTAACCGAAGTTTAACAACACAGACGGACCTACACCCCAAGTCCATGATGGTGGGGAGGGAGCACAGACAACCTCGACAACTCTGTAATGTTTTATTTTGTTTAAGAATCTGAAGCACAACAATGTTAATGTTTGTTCATTCTGGATGGTGGATAGTAGGTGTTTATATTTTTCTGTATGCTTTCTAATTCCCAAAATAAAAGTAATTTTTCCTTTTAAAAAAGTCCTTTTATCAATACCTCCTTGCTTCCTTCAAGCCCTGCAGCTGGTCCTAGGTCTCTCTCAGAACAAAATAATGCCTTCAACACCTTAGCCCTTCAACTATCACAACAGGAACGTGTCTTCTCCAAGCTTCTCTGGGCTGTTCAACTATTTTTCTGTGATACAGTTTGAAGTCTGTATCATCCTAGTTGGCCTCTGAAAACTTTTTGTTTTCTAGTCAACATCCTTGTTGAATGTGCTGTTACAAAAGTGAGCCACAGATAGTGTGTGATTTTCTTAAGACAAACCACCTCACTGTGGCAGCTTCGGGACCAGTCTCCTGGTCCCTGTCCCAGGCTGTTCAACAGAAAACAATCTTTCATAACGATCAGCACTTAGTGGGAATCATGAAAAATCTTCACTTACTATCCAGTTCATGGTTCCATGAAGGCATCAATGACAAGGCATTGTAAGATGATTGGCAAAATGTGCAAATGAGCATTACTTACCAACACTGTAACAAAACACTGGGGTGTGAGAGATGCTCTATGAATCACCTCGGAGATTAGAAAGCGCTTCCAAGCCATTAGCCAAGCACCTCCACTTTAGAGATGTGGGGGAAAGCGGGGGGAGGGTGGCCCAGCCCTGGAACAGGGACTCCAATCCGCCTCCTCCGAGTCTCATCTCATTCCCGCCGCCAGGGCTCTGCCACCCCCAGATCAGAGACAGAGCTAAGGACCAAGGGGAAAAGAGGTTCCATCACTTTGGGGTGTTTACCTTATTTTCTCCTCCTTTTACACAGGCTTAAAGGAAGAGAATGCTGACCACAGGGCCTCAAGGGAAAAAGAAGAGGAACGGAAATAAGGGAGAGCTGAAGAAAGATGTGGGCAGTGGTGGTGAGACCGTGAACTTCCCTGTTTTTTTACATGCCCGTGGTCACGGGCACCTTGGCAGATGCCGCTCTCAACTGCTGGCCTGCGGTCCCGAGGACTCAGTTTGCAGACAGCATGACACCTACCAGGTTTGGGGCGGGCCTTTTCCAATTCCCGAAGTCTCAGTTGCTCCTTGTGAATCTGTGCCCCCGTCAGGAGCTGGTAGTGCGGAGGTTCCACGCCGCTGTCCCGTTTAACGAGCCTCAGGTCCCGCTCATTCATGAGCCTGATCACGTCTGCTCGGTGCATGTTTCCCAAATCATTGCCTGCCTCATCCAGCACGTGAATGACTCGCTCGTGAATTTTTCTGCCAATGTTGCTAAAAGCTGGCTCACTCTTTTTCTTCTTCTTTGCTTCATCCTGGGCGTCTGCAACAGTACTGAAAGCTTTTGCATGAATCAGGTAGGACAGTCTTGGGACAGAAGCTCCAAGGGACAGCTGCGCTGGTATGGTCTTGTGCAGGATGTATTTACCAAGACACCTGCTAATGCAATTATTTTCAGTCTTTATGGTTTGTAATGTGAGCCTCTTTAGAAGAAGAGCAGCCATCCTAAAAAGCAGGGAGAAGGTTCGTTACGATTCAATCAGTTCATCCCCGAGCTTTGATGCTGTGGTGCATGGAGGGCGTGTGTGAGGCTGCAGGCCTAGGTCATCTGTGAACGTTGTGGATCCGTGCCTGGAGAATTTACACCAATGATGTGGACTGTCAGGTGACTGTGGTCATGCTAAGTCGCGGAGGTACTGTCCCCAGCACAAGTTATTGTCAGAATAAACCATATTAGCACAGTGCTGTCGTTTCCCATCGTTTCTTACCCCAATACTATCTCATTTGACTCTATTTCCCAAGGATCTCGTAGTGCCAACTCCAAAAGCAAGGATCATCCTAAAGGTTTACTTAGGAGAATGCAGTATATAAAATCCTTGGTGACTCATAAATACCAATTCATAAGCTTTTAATACAATCAACTGCTAACAATTTATCAATACATCTGCCGGTATACAGAAGACAAGAGCACTATTCTGGGAAGGGGGACTCCCCACGAAGGAAGGTGATCCCCGGGAGCACTAAATGAGACTCTCAGAAAGGAAATACACTGATGTGAATCAGAGTGCCGACCTCAGAAACTCTACGACGACTCACAAGGTACGGCATGACGAGCAAACGCTAATGACACATTAGGCACACACTGTGATCCTGGTTTACTTCATGGGAATAACCGCTGTTCTTATAAATGGCATTCTGATTTTGTACTGGCTTTTCTCCCCCCGATAAGTGTCTTTCTCCTTCCACTCACACGTTGGGCCAAGCCTAGAAGTGCAGGCTGGAGGAGGGATGGGAAGACCCACTCATGTCATCTGGGGTGAGCAACACAAGAACTCAGGGAGGTGGGCCTGTCCACGACCAAAGAGGAAGGGATGGGGGCCTTCAGCAGTGCTTCTCAAAGAATGGTCCCTGGGTCACCTGCAGGAGAGTCACCCGGAGTGTTTGCTAAAACTAGAAATGCCCTCTGGTCCCTAGCTTTGATGCCACCGGGTTGTACAACCCCTGGACCTAGCCCCATCATCACCCTGCCTTAGGCCTCTAGTGACCAGTGAGAGAGAAAAAACAAAACAGACACAGTAAACTGAACGGAAAGCAATGGGACGCACATACTCTCACTTCTGTCCTCACGTAGCTGGGCAACACCCACATCTGTTGTTCCAGCCTCTTCCCTGAATCCCTAACTTGTAGGGCTGACTGCCAGCCCGCGCTGTCCACTCAGACAGCTAATGTCGCCCAGAGCGAACGTGTCCCCCGCCGGCTCTCCGTCTTCCCCCTACGCTGCCTCCTCCCTCAGTCTCCGCCAGGTCATAGAGCACACGCCCTCCCGGCGGCTCAGGCCCAAAGCAGCGAAGTTATCCTCCACTCTCCTTTTTCTCTTAGCAATTTAGCAGTGCATCCTGCTGTTCAGCGTCTAAAAACAGCCAGAATCCAACCACTCCTCACCTCCGTTGCTATCACCCTGCTCCAAAAATATCACCCTCTCTCACCTGGTTTACACTCAGCCTCCTGACGGCCCTCCTGCTTCTGCCCTTACCCCCTATAATTTATCACCTACATAGCACAGTGATCCTTTTAAAATATACATGGCAGATGACATCCCTCCTCTGCTCAGAACCCTCCACTGGTTTTCATCTTGCTCGGGGGGAAAAGCCAAGCCCGTGAAGGGGCCCACAGTGGCCCCTGCCCACCTCTGCCCACCTCTGCCCACTGCACCTACCCCGCCTCTTCCAGCTCTGTTCCAACCTCACTGGCCTCCAGGCTGTTCCTTGCAAACACCAAACAGTATTCCTCTGGATCCTCCTACCCAGGAGTTCCCTTCCCTAATCAGCTGTGTGGTTCATTTACCTCAAGCCTTGGCTCAAGTGTTACTGCTCAGTGAGGCCTCCCCATCTACTCTGTAGAATACTGTATACCCCATCACTTTCAAATCCATTAGCTTGCCTTTGAAAAAATCCACTGCCAGACATATTATATAGTTATTTGCACACATGTCCATAATCTTTCTCACTAGAATGCAAGCTTCACGAGAAAATATAATTGTCCATTTTGTTCACTGCTGTGTTCCTAACACTAGAGCCCAGAGCCCGGCTCGGCACGGACATGCTGAGTGAACGTTTGAGCCAAAGGGAACAGCCGGAGGGAAGGTGGCGTCTGCTGGCGTCTGAGCCCTGGGTCCTCAGATGCGTCATTCCCTAGCAATACACACAGATGCTGGTTACGCACGCTCTTCACACTCCGGCTGGCCCTTCAAACGCCCACTGACCTCAGTGAGATCTATGGCCAGATGTTCCGCCCACAGCGAAGGAGATGAACTCACAGTTGCGACCTGGTTGGTACTCCAGCTGCAGATGTGGCAAAGGCTCTAGAATCGGAGCAGACTGGATTTTAAATAGCTGAGATACTGTTTAACAAAAGAAGTCAGGTATTTGTTGGTGGACGAAGCCCCCAGACCAAAAAAGCAAGAAAGCTTGAGGAGACCAGAGAAGACTTTTTTCCATTTATCATCAGAAAAATAGCCACAGCACCAAATTTCACTATGAGTTAGGATGGCACTGACAATAATGGATGAAAGCTGACTGCATCCTGGGTAGTGAATCCTCAACACATTAAAACAGAAAATATTATTTCAAAATGTAGCTTTTTTTTTTTTTTCAAAATGTAGGATTTTTAAAAACAAGTAAGCATATGAATAGACTAGGCATAGGAAAAAGATGAAAAGAAATTTGTGAAAACCCTGGTTGTTTGTAGTCGAGGACACAAGTGATTTTTTTCCCCTATCCTTCCTAATTATCATTTTTTCCTCAATCTTTTACATGGAAAAAGTATTTTTTATACTAGTAAATAAAATATATTTATTTACAAAATAAAGACTATTTCAGAAAAATTATGTAGAATTTTTTCTTAAAGCTTTAAAAACACTTTCCAGGAAAAGGTAAAGAGTAGAAAAATACTGTAACTATATTTTTAAATTCTGTACTGTTATTTAAATTTTAAGAAGTTTTTTGGGGCACCTGGGTAGCTCAGTCGGTTAAGCGTCTGCCTTTGGCTCAAGTCCTGATCTCAGGGGCCTGGGATCGAGCCCTGCATAGGGCTCCCTGCTCGGTGGGGAGTCTGCTTCTCCCTCTCCCTCTGCTGCTCCCCCTGCTTGTACTCTCACTCTCTCTCTCTCAAATAAATAAATAATCTTAAAAAAAATAAAAATAAATTTTCAAAAGTTTTAAATTTTCTTGACTTATACAGCAATTAAGCTCCAATACTAGCTAAATTTTGGCTTTATGTCAGCAAAGCTGAACGTATACATATTTCTTCAAAATAAGCTTTTCATAGATAAAATATAAATACAATGTTAAGAAAAAAGCTGTGAAATTATTAAATTTGAATTGCAAATACCAACTTAAATTCTAATAATTAAAAAGTTTTTTTAAAAAAGATTTTATTTGGGGCGCCTGGGTGGCTCAGTTGTTAAGCGTCTGCCTTCAGCTCAGGTCAGGATCCCAGAGTCCTGGGATCGAGCCCTGCATCGGGGTCCCTGCTTGGCGGGAAGCCTGCTTCTCCCTCTTCCACTCCCCCTGCTTGTGTTCCTGCCCTTGCTCTATCTCTCTGTCAAATAAATAAATAAAATCTTTTTTTTTTAAAGATTTTATTTATTTGAGAGAGAAAGAGAGCGTGCGAGTGAAAGCGGGGGGGGGGGGGGATGCGTGGGGAGAGGGGCAGAGGGAGAAGCAGATTCCCCGCTGAGCAGGGAGTCAGATGCAGGGCTCAATCCCAGGACCCTGGGATCATGACCTGAGCCGAAGGCAGAGGCTTAATCAACTGAGCCACCCAGGCACCTCTAAAAAGCTTTTTATTAGGAAAAGTTTCAAACATGTAGAGGAAGAATAGTATAATAAAGCCCTAAGCACCCATCACGCAGCTTCTTAATAGCACGTAGCCAAACCTGCCTCCTCTCTGCTTCAACTACTCTCCTACGCCCCCAGCCGCCCATGAACTATTTCAAGGTAAATCCTATCTTGCCAGCAAATACCTCAGTAAGTCATCTCTAAGAGGTGAGGCCTCTTTTGTCTTTTTAGTGACCATAATAACATTACCCTAACTAACAATCATTCCTTTATATTATCAAATATCCAGTTTTCTGATTTCCCCCATATTACTACAATTTTGCTTGTTTACATTTCATTCACAGGTTGGGAGCATGGACAGACTCCCACTGGCCAAATGTGAGGTAATTTCAACATTAAAGAACAATGGCTGAAAGTTGTTTTAACACATGGAATATGCAAAAATCTATAAAAAAGAAAGATCATTTGCCAGAACTGCATGTGACTATTGCCCAGACTCCTTACTGTGAAAATTGGTAAAGAAAAAGGACTAAGCATTCATCGTACCTTTTTAGGAAGACCTGTAATCAGCAATCATCCCCAGGTGGTGAAGAAAAGCTCTTCGTTAGAGGAGAATGCCAGCTAATAAATGGAGAAGAAAAGTAATTTAGAAATCGCCATTTTGCCACCTTCAATCAAATCACAGATCCAGGCAAGGGTGGATGCAAACACCACTAGGTAAAAAGCTAATGAGGAAATAAGGTATTCAAATGGTGCCAAAGGGTGACTCAAAGATGACCTGCAAATTGAAATGGGAAAAACACACTTTGGCTGTCACCCTCCTTAACCTAAGGTCCGACTCAGTATTCCAGCGATGGGACAACCCGACATCCTAGTGCCTACCTCCTCCTGTGCCATGGCCTGGGTGCGGTGCCTTCTGTGAAACAGTCCTGCCAAAAAAGGTTTAACCAGAACCTGGTCCGGCCTCTAGACCTGGTTTCCAGTCTCCAGGGAATTCAAGGGCCAGACTCGGGAACAAATCAGGCACCACCACAAGGGAACAATCTGACAAATACAGACTGTGAGACAAGCCAAGTGGCTTGGTGTCAAAAAAAAAAAAAAAAAAAAAAAAAAGTGTTAGGAGGAAAGAAAAGAGAAGGGGTTTATTCTTGAATAAAAAGACAGAGGAGACATAATTATAAAATGCAATGTGTTTGAAAAAAGCAACTACAGAGATGTTGAGACACAAGGGGACAAGCTGAATAATGACAAGATTCCTAATGGAGCGGGTGCTTTCTGAGAAATACTGTGAATTGTCTCAGGTGGGAAAATGCCATTCTTGGGAGGGGACTCTGAAGTATTCAGGGTAGAGGACCATGACATCTGCCACTTGCTCAGACAGGGTTTGGCAGAAAATACATGTGCAGCATGGCAACATCTGCTGAATCTACGTTATGGTTACACGGATGTTTGGTTATTGAGCCTTACAACTGTTCTGTATGTTTAATTTTGTTCATAATTAAAAAGTTAAAAGAGAAGCCAGCTGCCCACAGGAAGGAAAAAGTTCCCTACTTGTGCCAATACGACTGTTCCAATCTGTGTAAATTATAGACATCAGTATAATTTAATAAATTGGCATTCTGGCTTTATAGATCTTCAAAAAATGTTAGTTTTCATTAGTTTCAAGGCTGTATCTAAATGAAGCCTATGTCTAGGGAACTTTACAGATTTCAAAGTCTGAATTGTTTGGTAATGCAAATCACCTTTATTCTCCATCTAGTTTTCATCAGAGCAGTCTAAAAGTGTTTCACCATCATGAATGAAGATGGTTTCAATTCGAAGTAGAACTTGTGCAATGTCTGGCTAACTAGTAGTTAAAAGTGAACATGTTTTGGAGTAGCGGTTCTCAGAAACTGGAGGCCTATCAGCATCATCTTTTTCAAACACAAGATGTTTCCCTGTTCCTCTCTTGTTAAGAACCACTGGGTCAAGACCCCCTCAAAAAAGAAGACATAAGAAAATACATGATAAAACATTGTAACATTCGTGGGTTCAAGTGGTTTAAGCTAGGCTGTCTGGGAGTACAAGAGCAAAGGTTAAGAAAAGGTTAAGAAAGCTTTCCAGGTGGGTGCAAAATAGAAAGCCTTGCTCTCTCATGAAATTTCTCCAATTAAATGTCTTTGATATCTCTGTATTTTATTGAAATAGCTTACTGACCATCCAGGAACAAATAGTAGGCCGAATGAACCAGCAGTCTAAATCGAAATAGGTTCTCATGTTCTTATGACAATATGCCTTATGACTAAAGTGCCTTTAGTCACTTACTTCCACAGCTGTCCCTTCTGAGACATCCAGAGCTATGTGAAAAGCCAATTATCTCAAAATCATTTACTTAAAGTACACAATCGTGTAGTAAGAGATAGCCATGTCTGGTTTCACGGTAACTCAGACCTGATGGAGATCATCTTGTGCTGCAGCTATCTGCATCTGTTGGGAGTTTTAAATTCCGCAACTGACTCCACATTGTAGGGAGAAAACATATAATTTCTCTTTTGTTGTTCCTTATTTACGTGAGATTGGATCACTGAAAAACTCCACATCCTGCAAGCACTGGAGGATAAACTGACAAGCGCCCTCAAAGCCCCCTCACTCTTCTGTCTTAGCAATTCCCACTCATTTCAGTCCTCAGTCCTCTGCTTGGACCTCTTCAACACCATCACTAACTGGCCTGGGACCATGTAAGAAAAATGACAACTGCATTATTCCAAATGCACACAACACAGAATAATTTTAATGTCTGATCCGCATATTTCATAAGAAATTGAAAGGCTTTCAAACAGTAAGCCATAAAGTGGGAAATTATTAAATAAATATACGGTTACTTCCATACGCTGTGTATTTCGGGAGAGCTTAGGGTTGTGTTCTTTATACTTTCACATTAAGTCTGCAGTTGGTTAAAATGAACAATATTCTTTGAGGACTACTTCTCCCCACTTTTATTATGGAAATGTTTAAATATACAGAAAAACTGAAATATACAGAAAATGATACAGTGAACACCCCAATACCCCTTCATCTAGATTCTACATGTTGCTATCTTTGTATTATTTATCCATCCATTTATTCCTCTTTCTATCCATTTCATTTATGTTTTGATGCATTTCAAAGTAGTTGCAGACAGTGGCATCCTCAAGTCCTTCATCCTCAAATTCTGCAGCATGCATTCCATTAACTAGGGCTCAACATTTGTTAACAACTCTTTCCATTTTGAGGCAAATTTTACATATAATGAAATGTACAGGGGCACCAGCGTGGCTCAGTAGGTTAAGTGCCTGCCTTTGGTTCAGGTCATGATCCCAGTGTCTTGGAATCAAGTCCCATGTCAGGCTCCCTGCTCATCGGGAAGTCTGCCTCTCCCTCTCCCGCTGCCCCTCCCCCGCCGCTTGTGTTCTGTCTCTTGCTTTCTTTCTCAAATAAAGGAAATCTAAAAAAAAAAAAAAAGTACAAATCTTAAACATCTCTTTTAATTAGTTTTGACAAGTACAAACACCTCTGTAACCAAAACTCCTGTCAACATGTAAAATATTACCATCACCCCAGAAAGTTCCCTCATGCCTCTTCCAAGTTAGTCTCCAACCCCACCCAGAGGCAACAACTGTTCTGGTATTTTTCCATCATAGTCTGTTCTCAGATTTCATATAAATGTAATCAAGCAGTATGTACTCTTTGTTGTAAGGCATCTCAGCATGTTTTTGAGATTCATCTGTGTTGTTCCATGTGTCATTGTTTGTTCCTTTCTATTTCTGAGAGTTGTCCCAGTATATACTACAAATTTTAAATCCAGTTTTCTGCTGATGAACATTTAGAATGTTCCTAGCTTGGGGTTGTTATGAATCATGTTGCTATGAACATTTTTGTACAAGAAAAAAAAAAGTGATCAAATGATTACTGCCCTAAAAGACAGCTGCATTCCCCTTATGATACATTATTTTGCATTACCAAGTACCTGTTCAGGAGGTACTGATAATGTATTTGTAATGAAAGTTCTAGGAATATGATTTAAATATGTGGTTATGAGGGATTAAACTGCTTGCATGCTCACCGCTCTTCTTTCCTATATAGCTGATATTCACAAGCTCATACTTACCGATATTTGTTATTTCCAGGGAGGCTGGATCAAAGCTACATAGATTCTAGTGGACTAAGTATTTGTGAAATTAATTTTGCCAATTCCTATGACTTTAAGAATCCTCTCTCACACCTTTCAAAGGAGTTTCACAAAGTCCTTGCTTCTGCCTGCAGACCTGCCAACAGTCCATCTGCTCTGTTCCAGTGGGCTCTGCGGCCTTAATAACAGAGGACTGAACCATGGTCACTGAGCCTTCATGGTGCTCTCCCTTGGCTCTGGTTTTGCTCTTCCATAAGGGGCACATAAGGGGTACAAAGTACTCTCCATACTCAGGTTGGCTTTTTAAGAGCTGTAACACCAATTTACAACACTGGAAAAAGCCAACATGTATCTTTGGCCAATTACTTAACCATATTTCTTTACCTATAAAATTTTTAACTTATATTTTAGTTATTTTATTGAAATAGCTTACTGACCATCCAGGAAATGTTTTTTTTAAAGCTTTTAAATCCAGAGCTACAGAGTCAGTATTAACGTTGGACTTATTCCTGTACATGAATCTTGCTCTTCCAGAACTTCCTATCTCAGTGCCCGGCATCACAGTTCATCCAGAGCACCGTCCTTTGCGTCTCTGCTCTCCCTCACCCTCCTAGCTAACCCAACACCAAGTCTCATAAATTTTACTTCCTAATTCCACTCAAATCCAACCACTTCTCTCCATACCCATTGCCACCACCCTAGTTTAAGACATCTTCCATCTCGTGTGTATTCCTTCCCACCAGTCTCCTAACTAGGATTTACCAATTGCAACACTGCAATCCGTTGTCTCTGCTCTACTGTCACCACAGCCCCGCCCTCCCCACCATAAAACTGCCCCAGATTACAGGCCAACATCTTTCATGAAGCCTAGAGGGTCGCGCCACCTCTCCAGCCTCGTTCTATACCAAACTTCCTATTTGCCTAAACCACACTGGCCGTCCAGCTTCTTGAAATGCTCTTCCCTTAGGTTTAGGAAACGCCAGATTGTTGCTTAGCGCTCCTTTTCTCCGGGGATTCTGATCACCTTCCAAACTAAGCCCATCAGCCCCCACTCCTCCTGCTCCCTCATCTGTTTGTTGAGCTCAGCATTAATGCTCAACATTAAATGCTCGCACAGTAGTTTATCTTTCCCTTTTAGCACTCATCCCAATTACAATTTTGTGATTATCTTATCTGGGAACGAATCTGATTTATCTGTCCCGTCCCTGGCACAGTAAGCAGTCGTTGACTTTTCAAACGCCCCTCCACTCTCTGTACTTTAATCTTAGACTGAAGCTTTTCACTACACGAATGTGCAATTGCGAATTTCAGTACGAAAGTTTATTTACTTCTTTCGAGAGCCTATTAAACGATAAGCAGGGAAAAACAGAAATCCCGCAATCACTTAGCAACCTTGCCCGCTACTCCTCCCCCCGCGGAGACTGCGGGGGGAGGACGGTCACCTGTGTCAGCCGCGGCCACGCCCACACCGGGAAAGGGTCCCCCGGCACGCCTCGGACAGAGACGGGGCGTGGGGACGTACGGCGAGCGTGCACGCGTGCCCGTACGTGCGCCGCGATGGCGGGGCGGGACGTCCAGGCGACCGGAGGGCCGGCGCCGGGTCTAGGTCCTGCGGGTCCCGGATGCAGGGGCAGCGTTCCGGGCCCAAAGACGGCTCTACAGACCGGACGAATCCCCGAACCCGCGGCAGGGTCTGTGGCGCCTCTCCGCGCTCCGTCCGGCGGCAGGGGCGGCACTGACCTTCCAGGGACACAGCCGAGGTGAAGCCGCTTCCTCCGTAGGCCTGTGCCTAAGCCCACGTCCTCCCGCCTCAGGCCCCCCATCACTGGCACGGCGCCCCTCGCCTTTAGCTTTACCTCTGCCGGGCCGGCGATTGGTAAGGTCTGGCGGAAGAAGCCAGGGAGCGGCCCCCGCGGGCAGCCCCCTTCGCCCTCCGTAGTGGGCGGAGCCCGCGTCTTTAAAGGAAAGGTGACGCAGGGAGGAGCGCCGTTCAGCTGGAAGGCGGAAGTCCTCCGACAGAAAGTGCGGAGGGCGGTTCCTGCGGGCTCTCTCTTTTAATTTAATGTTGAATAAAAGGTTTCATAAATGTTCTTACAGTTCCTGTGACTTAAGGAACACTGCCTCTGCTTTGCAGGTGAGCAAACAGACCCGAGAAGTGAAAGACCGCCCTAGATTCCCAAGCGGGGGTCACCGGAGACAGATTCGGAGATGGGTTCGGGCGTGTACGATTCAAGTAATGTTGTAACTGGGAGACCTTCGAACAGGCCGCCAGTTTCACGAAAGCGAAACGGGCTCGTGGTAGTGAAGTGGTTTGTCGAGAGTCAGGGCAGTTGCAAACCTCGGGTGCTCCGGGCTGTCACCTGCCCGTGCGGGGGCACACCCCTGCCTCGAGGCCGCTGTGCGCTCCGTCGTCGCACTACGGTGTCGGTCACCTGAC